CTTGTAAGAATAGAGTAAAATACCCTTATAAAGGTAACATAAGTCCGATTTACCACTTACTCTGAATTTTCGAAAATTGCAGAAGTTTGAAGTTTTTTCAGCGTCTTCCTACAACTACAAAATTGAAGTGCTTATTACACTTTTCATTATGACGTTCAGTTATTTTTTAGTATTTTTTTAAATTACACATACGTAATTTCTTGAAAGATCTCTCACGCCGTTAATATGCTCATTTCTAGCAATTTGTAAACACTATTGTATTTGTGAGTTAATGGGTTTTAAATGACATCTAATGAAGTTTCTCAAAAACTCAAAAATTTTCTGTAAAAAAGATATTCAAATTTCGAATTTACAGTAGTGCTTAAACACTTAAAAACACGGCTCAAAATTTTTAAAACAAAATTGTCATTTAGGACGAGGTTTTACCTTCATTTATTAATATTAAAGTAATATTTCCGTTCTACTAACAGGAAACCGAAAAAATAAGAAAATGTAAAATATGTAGGGGTTTGGGCGGCGATAAATGGCAGATGGCAAGAGAATGTGGCAAGTCCGAATAGCTAGCTGAGGTCAAAGAAAATAGAAAACTAATACGGAAAAGTGTGTGCCATTCAATAGCACCACTAGTTTCCCTCTTTTTTTTCCCTCGGATAGAGCAAAGCACACTTAAAATATGACAGTCTCATTTTCACTCTCTGAATTTTCGAAAATTGCAATATATAAAAATAATGCGAGAAAATTTATTTTCTTTTAGTACCGCTAGGAAAAGTGTCGGAGGAGAATCTACACTTCATGTATACATTTATTGTATATGTCTCGAAAGCTTCTCCCTGATTTTGTGCATGATATCACGCTGGAGCGCCAACTCTTTTATTTCTGTTTTTAAACGAAGTATGTTGTTTCATAATTGATAGTGGAATGTTAACATCGTTATTCATATAAGAACTGGTTCCGTCATGGGGCCGTGGCGCTGACTGAAAAGTGCCACAGGACCATGAAATTTAATGGATTTAACCTTGAAGATTGTGTATAGTCTTTGCCATAATATATTCTGGGTTTGTTCAGAAACACATTATTTACGAGGGAGTACCGGCAAAAAATGACAAAAAGTGAAGGGCACCGAGAAATCAGCACCGTCTACGACCTGCGCTTTCTAGGATTACCACAGTTTGATCGTATGAGCTTCAGGGAAAACGAGGCGCTCATTTACTAAGATTATTTTGAACTGTGGTTGCTTTTACAATTAAGTGTTAAAAATTGTTATGTAATTAATAAACAAGTTTGATATCACAATAAATGCATTGAAAAATTGAATGAATTTTAATACACATTTTATTGTTACTAATTTTGAGAGAGTGTGAAAGGTCCAGCGCAAATAATATATAGTCATTGAACGTTTTATTTAATGAAAAAATGAAATAAAAACAAAAAAGTATATGTGCACTTTATATTGACAAAAACTTTTAAGTTCTCAAATTTCAATTAAATAAAGTAAATACCTTTAAACACATTTTTAGTGAAACGGACTTACCAAGCATTCAAATAATCCTTTAACCATCTCTCTACATGGTCTGGGGTCTTCGCAATCGACAACAAATGTTAGGTTCCCCCCCTATTTCTTGCATATCTCAGGGGGTATGGATCCAATTTAACGATTGTCCGGTTCCTCAAACTTTCGAAAACACCTTCATTCACGATACTTGATGGTCTGGGAGCCTCACAATCGGTAACAAACGTTAGGTGCACTTTCTGCTAGTCGTAGGAGGGACTCCAGTTAAAAGATAGCCTGCTCAGAATACTGAGTCCTCAACCAACGCTAGATAGCTTCACAATCTTAACCAAACATCAAGTGTTTATCTCTTTACACTTCATGGTAGGTAGTAATTCCATCTAAGGGATGTCTGGTTTTGAAATAACGTAAATGCATTCTCTTAGATGCGAATAACACAATGAAAAAGAACAATAAATACAAATGTAACATGTTTTTAAATATTTAACAATGGTATATTTTTATTATTATCATTATTTCCATAATTTTTTTTGTTTTTGTTTCGCGAATGAGCTATCATGGGGCCACGCGATACGTGCATCCCACCGGGGCTCAGGCTTGATTATTGGTGTAGGTGCACGTCACTTTTACTATAAGGGAAGCAACATTTTAATGCTGATTACATTTTTATACCCCGGGGTTGTCACCTCTAGGGGATGGGATGAAATGATGATGAAATAGATACACACGAACATACAGAGACACACAACACAACACAACCATGCCCGAGGTGGGACTCGAACCGAGTGATCTTTTGGTCCGTGGCCGCCAATGTCCTACTGCCTTTGCCATCGGCCATCGGATCGGCATTATTATTATTATTATTATTATTATTATTATTATTATTATTATTATTATTATCATTATTATTATTAATATTATTATTATTATTATTATTATTATATTTTCAAAATTATTTAACAAAAGTATCTCTTTAGTTATATAGTAATTGCAAGAAACAGGTGTTTTGTGCAAAGACAAGTTTGTCCCCCGAGCGTTTGCGATTCAAGACGAGCACATCATTCACCTCACGCACTAGTTGTACTATTTTTACTTTCTCGCTATCGCTACCACGGTAGAGAGAAACTTATGTAATGCTTCGGGAAAAACGGCACATTTTCGGCAGATAAACTCTTATTACAGAGCCCTGCTAAAGAAAAGTGGATACATCCATTTGCTAAATTTAGAAAAAAATCTTCTATCACATGGTGTAATCATAATCCATGTTTTGTGAGTCCTTGATACCAGAAAATCGATCGACAGCAAAACGTCTGTCCGTCTGTGAACATGAACGCTAGCGGCCGAACCATTCAGCCGATTTTCTCCAAAGTGATATTCTCTTGTCGATTTGACTGATTCACGGCCCCTTGAATTCAAATTGTTATTTTAATTTTGGAGCATACTTTACATGAAGCCGGGGGACATTTTCACAATAATATTGTAAAAAAATGGTACATTGTTTTTTATTAAATTTTGTTATTGAATAGTGTGAATAACATTGAAGAAACTTGTGTTATTTCAATTTAAATTGCATTCTTTAATTGTGTTATGTGAAAACGAATAGATGAGCAGTCGTTGTTGGTTGTGTTAAACCTTTGTTGTAACGCCGTACTGATAAAAGAAGGGAATACTTTCGCGGTAATATAAACTAATACTCATATATTTGTATAATATTTCAATACCATAGTGTTTAATAATTACTATTATATATGTTTCGATCTATTTGCATTTGTTTGCCAGCGCAATCAGTATCATATTATTTATTAACTTTAAATTACTTTACTTTCTCGAATACTGCTTACGAAGAATATTGTAAGGCTAAAAGTTTTTTTCGATATGTTCAAGAATACACTACTTACCTTATACAATAAATTCAAGGCCAGAAATATATTTTCATTTAAAGTTTAGAATGAAAAAAAAATCTTGAATCTATTTAACTTTCGCTCCAAATGTTCTACGATTTCAAATGAGTTTTACAAAAAAATGATGGCAGAGATATGTGAATTCGAGAAAAATTGTGATATAAATAGTATCACATAACCATTGCTAAGGACGAGAAAAGTACGTGCTGTTTTAGCTCCACTAGTTTATCACGCTGCTGTGTGCGAAGAACGTTTCGCTCACGCTCTGTGATGTTGCACACTCGCTTTGTTAGGTTTCGGGTACCAGTAGAATAAAAAAAAGCTGTTGCGCACATGCGAAACAAGCACGAGAAACTATGTTGCACGCTCGGCGTGTTAAAATAGTTATTTATAATACGGATGGTAAAAATAGCATTTCATTTTTTGAGTTGGATGTGTTCCGACACGAGTCCGACAGGCCGAGTGTCGCAATCCAACGAGCACAATAAAATCTCTTTTACCACGTGTGTCGTACACTATTTTTTAGACAACCTTACAGACTCATTTGTCTTTAATTCAAATATTCAAATCACTTTAATAATACATTAATGTCAATAATAGCTAATGCGGTCAGACGAACGTATTTTATTTTCTTCGTTGCTTTAGGAGATTTATCTGAACACTTGAACATCATCTCATTTTGAACAGCAGGGTTAAAAATTGAATTTTTATTACCATATGCATGTTCTGAAAGAACCACTTTTATAATTTGATGTATAAAAAATATATATTTTTACTTTCTCGTATACGTACGTATATGCATGCCGAATACGTATCGTATAGGCAATATTGCATGAAATATAAATGCAATATAAAAAAATAACAAAAAACCTCTCCAAAACGACTACACTTTTTTCTTTAAACTTTGCCTACGTACGCCTTTGTTTACATGATTGCATTTGTGAGTAGATGTGCTTCAAATGATTTTAAATGAAGTTTTTCGAAAACTCAAAAGATTCCTGTGAATAAGAGCTTTTAATTTCGCATTTACATTAGAGCTTTAACGATTTTGTTTTAGAAACGGTTCTAGATTTTTCAACGAAAATATCCGTATAGAACAAGGCTTTGCTCTTCTTTAATATTCTAAAAGTAATATTTCCAATCTTCCATTAGGAAAACGGAAAACTTAAAAAATGTATTAGGGACGGCGGCAGATGGCAGCCGAATAGAGGATGGAGCAAGACCGTAAAGCTACCTAAGAGCAAAGAAATTAGGAAACTCAATAGTACGAGAAAGTCTATGTCATTGTGTAGCACCACTAGTTAGTATTGCGTTGGTTCTTTGAATGTGAGGCCTGAGACATCGACGTAGTGTGAATCTTTCTGTAAATACTGTCTGTTTTACCCAGATGCAAACAATGAATACACTGAAAACATCATATATGAGATTCTGTATGAATAAAAGAAACACCTATCAATTGACAGAGAATAAACAACAGTTTATGATAAATGATGATTTTCCAAATTAAGTTCTTAAGATTCACCTTGGTGGAAGCAAATAACAAAATGTACCTATGATGTTCTACTTTCACGGTAACTTTTTGCATTTCGATGGATATAATATTTTTGGTGATGATACGTGTTCTGGTGAGTTGATTTAATCATTTTTTTATTGCAGGAACCTTGCGAATGACGATTGCCTACAGTTTTTGACTCCTAAGGTCCCGTTGATTTCTTTTAAGAAAAATTGAGATGCCTTCAGGCATTGAATCCTCACTCTGCCTCTGTCTGTCTGTCTGTCTCTCTCTCTCTCTCTCTCTCTCTCTCTCTCTCTCTCTCACTCACTTTCTATTTCGATCGATCGATCGATCCAAAACCAACAAAAGTTATCTTTAGGGAATTACTCCCCAGTCCTACATCAAACAGATTTAAAAAAAAAAAAAAAAAAAAAAAAAAACCAGTTTGCAGATGATTACATAAAAGACACTACGCAGCAATATAACGGCTTTCTAGGAATCCGATGCGTCTAGGCTAAACCAGATTTTTGGTAGCACGCCTACAAGTTTGGGGGCGGTTGAGTTCTTTGGGACCGAGTTTTGATGAATATTGGAGACAAGTAGGAGAAATAACAAGGGACAATGCGCCAAATTATTATTATTATTATTATTATTATTATTATTATTATTATTATTATTATTATTATTATTATTATTATTATTATTATTATATTTAAAAATATATAGTGACAGATGAACTGTGAGGCAGATGCGAAGAAATGTCATACGGACACCTTCCAGTGCACCGTTTGCGGCAAGTGAGGTGTCATTCCACGTTTCTGCATATGCCGGTGGGCAACATTCCAGTTGTTTGTACCGTGAAACTGAGACCGAACTTTAATAGCGGGAGGATTATAATGAAAGGTTTTTTTCACTTTTCAAACTTTTCACTTTAGGACAATGCCAATTAGTGTTGACATTTTTATGTGACTTTTTTACATTTTTTTATATATAAAGCATTTTTCGCGAATTTGATCTTCACACTTACTTCAAATCATTTTTACGAGTAACAAATTCTCCACAGAATTCCTGAGTAGCCTATTCCATTTCTTCGCTGAGAAACTGTAATGTCAGCCCGTTGTAAGTAAATCTAAGGTTCCTGTGACGCGTATTTGCGTCACTATCGGTTCGGCCGATTTCGCGAGAGCTAAAAACAGAGATTTCCTAGTAAAAAAAATTGCAAGGCGAGATCACTTGAACGAAAGGAACAGCCTCGATCACAGGGTAACATATCCACCAACTTATTCATCTGAACTAGTTTCGATGACATTTTTATGTCATTTTTCTTTACTTTTAGGGCATTTTAAAAACATTTTAAGAGCTTTTATTGTTCACTTTTGGCGATGTTTTAGGTCATCAAAATTCTCCCCCTTGTTATAACATTTGACAGGAATTTTAGGGGATGAAATGAATATGAAACTGTGACGACTCTTATTAATAATTTGATCCAAACAAACAGAGAAACATCCATTTTGAGGCAGTCTTTCGTTGAACGAGAGGGCACAGTCTTCCCGACCTGGGGCGCTCCCGCCGCCGCCAGCCGCGTAGAAGAACAAAGCGTTGCGGGCGCGGAGGCGGCACCAGAGGTGCTCGGCCACCGAGTTCAGCGCGTGCCTGCCAGATGTCTCTGCTTGCACCCGCCGCGCCGCGCGGCGCAGCATCTGGCGGCGCGGCGGCGATGGCAGCCAGCCCGCGGAATCAGCCAACCGGCCGGGCCGAGTATAAAACCACTGTGACGCCGGCCCTCGGACACGGAGGATTTTTCACACCTTTGTTTAGTCGCTCTCACGCGTCCGTCTGTCCCGACTCGACGCGGTCGCCGTGATTTAAAGGTGCGGCCTGCGGGCGCACGCGGCCGCCGCCGCCGCCGCGCCGGGGCACGACCGAGCCGCGCCGCTCGCTGCGCGAGCTGGGTGTGTGTGAGTTGCACTGTGTGGATGCACCTATGTGTGTGTGAGCTGTGTGAGTGCGGAGGCCGTTCCGGGAGGGGGATTGGGGAGCGGAGGGGGCGGGTGGCGTGCTGCTGTGGCGGCGCGCTCGGGGTCGGGGGAGGGGCGGCGAGGACACGAGGCTGCCTGTTTTCGCAGGTCGTCCAGCCGGGGCGGCGCCTGCGGCGCTCGCCGCCACGCGCCTCCGCGCCGCGCGCCAGTCAGTCGAGTCCGAGCCGCGCCGGCGCGTGTGGAAGAGCGCAGCCGCAGCCGCGCCCGCGGTCGCCGCCGCGGCCGCGGCCCGAGGTGAGCCAAGACGAAGCCCGCGCCGCCGGTGCCCGTGGGCGCCCTGGGCAGGCACACGGCGTCTGCCACCGCCGCCGCCGCGCTGCCCGACGCCCGCGCCAAGCAGGTGCTCAAGGAGGCCGTGGATGCGGTCGTCAACAGCTTCGCCAAGCACACCCAGGGCTATGGCCGAGGTGAGTCCCCGCGCCACGTGCACACGGCGCCCTGCGCACGCGCCCTCGCCCTCGCGCTCGCCCCGGCAGCTCGCTGTCAGGCCGATGACGTTTGGCCGGCGGCCTCGCGCGCGCCGCATGGGCCCCGCGGCAGCTGACCTCGGCCACCGCCCTGCCAAACTCCGCACGATCTGCCCTCATCTTCAGCGACTCCCCTTTGCGATGACATTTCGACCAAGTTCCTGCGCATAATTGGGCCGGCTAGTTCTTCATTGCATGTACTGTAGTGCATCTGCCTCTCGTAATACAACGAATTGGATGAACAGTGCATTGAAAAACGTGTCGTTCTCAACGTAGTCCAATCTATTACAGAAGAGCAAACGTCGCTGTCAGTCGCTACTTCCTCGCGCCGCCTCTGTGTTTTAAATGCCGCATCAGACAACACAAATATTCATTCAGTTGGCCCTCTAATTTGTGTAAATATGTGTAAATACAACCCTTTCATGCGTGACGTGTTCCGACAACACGGCTACAATGCGCCATTGACAATTCCGGCGTATCGTTAGAAATCCTGCGTGTTCGACACGAGCCGACACACGGGTGCGTTTGTTTTCGGCGCACCTGCGCCCCCGTCGACATTGACGTTTCCCATTCGTCGTCAAACCCAACAACCCCGTCGGGTGTCAGCTCTCCAGACCGGTGCTCGTCGTCGCCGCCGCCGAGGAAAACCCTGCGAGAGCCCGGCATTCCTCGCGAGCTGAAGTGCAGCGGCGCGTCGCCGGCGTCCGCCGAGAACAGCGGGGCCGTTCCCACGCTTGGACAGTGCGAGGTCCGCGGCGGCGGCGGCGGCCGGCGGCGGCGGTCCGCGGAGATGGAAGAGATGAGGCGACGGAGCAAGGAGGCGGCGGCGGCGGCGGCGTCCGCCGAGGAGCCGTGCACAGCGAATCCGCGCGAACCGGGGCGGATGCAGCGCGAGAAACCTGTTGCAGCGCGCGTCGGCCGGCCGGCCGCCCGCGCCCGCGCCCGCGCTGCCGCCCCGCGCCACCCCGGTCGTCGTCCCGGTCGCGAGGACGTATTGCGCTGTTGTGGTGGAAAAATATACCCTTCAATCAATCTGGTTAATGTATCACAACCACACGCTCATTTAGAAGCAACGATGAATTATAAATAAATATGAATAATAATAACTTATGGTAAATGTACGACATAAAGTGTATCTTATCTTGTAGTGGAATGTCATAAAAAAAACTGTGGCCTTAGGATTAGGTCAAAACGCGCTAATGAAATCTATTTACTCGCAGATAGCCTCCCAGACGAACATAATTACGTAAAAAATCCTCAAAAGTTACAACTATTGCCAGGATATAAAGGAAAATTTTGTTTAAGATACGATGCTGCTCTCAGTCGACCCTAGGATAAACGTAAGGCATTGCACTATATTATTGATACATATTGTTGGACGATAGAATCCATTAGAGAGCATCATTATCTCTTAAACATATTTGACCTGGCACATTTTTGTACCATTTATACACCCTGGCACATATTTGTACCGTTTGTTAGTATATTTCGGTGACGTATTCTACAGACAATAAGTGTAGATATCAACTGTCAGATGTATTCTTTGTGTGCTGTCAGAACAGTGTTCGTGACAGGGATGTATTTTTGGACAAGCTCTCAAAACATGTGGATAAGTGCAACACGCGCCGAAGGCAAGTGAATTTAGGCTGATCTGTATGTTGTGTAAAATTTGTTGTAAATTTCGTGTTGTCTGCACTTAAAGATGTTTTGTGTTAAAAGCAGAGGCTAGAGTCCACAGCCGCTTCATTGACTTAGAAATGCATGTGCGAAGCCAGTCAAACCGTTCGTATCAAATTGGGATTTTTTTGATATGCTAATGTAACCGTACTATCTTGAAACGTACAACGTTTTGAAGCAATAAATATGAAGCGCATTCCACACTTTCCGTTTTACTTGAGATGTTTTTCATAAAAAAATAGCATCTATGTCGCGCTTACTTTTCTCCCAAACATACAAAAATTACCACATCATTCGATATCCTCGGGTGATATTTATTGAATTTGTCCCTGCGAAACATGCAAAATCAAACAGCAAAATAAGATTCACAGTTTTCCAGGTTGTTAAGTCAGCTTCCGCGCATTTTTAAATTTAAATCTCACCCATTACATAAAATAATTCCAAGAGTCATTTATTTCGCTACGATTGCGAATATAATGAAAATTGTCCTCGCAACAGTGTCGCTCACTATTTACTGGTAATGTGTCCAAAAGATTGTCTTCTGTTTTCATTATCGATCAGATCACTAACATTGGCTGAGCCATCATATGAATTGTTCGGCGGAAGCCATATCTTCTACCGATAATCATCCGATGAAGAGACCTTTTTTGAGAAGCAACAATTAGCCATTATTATCGGATATGCCATGTGAAATATTGATATACAGGCCTTTCTTGAATTCTATCTGACTGAACTGATGACGACTGCGAAGGAAAATTTAGCCATGAAAACTGCTGAACTGATTAATAATGGTAAGAGCGACATCAGTTGTTCGAATGTGATAGGCTTAATTAAGGGCTACGCGCTGGGCGGTAGAGAATTCTCGTTAAGGAAGACGGCACGTAAATTGCGGCCAGTCAAAATTAGTGCTCCTAAAAGAGCACTTACTTTCGTGTACGTACTTTCACGCAAAATTACTCGAAAATTACCCAGATTTTCGAAATATTATACGTGACCTTATTTCAAAATCGATCTTTAAGAAACATATTTCATTACGGTAAAAGGTATATCTTTAATATTTTAGTTTTAAAAAGATCACAAACGAATTTTCAACTTTTGCCATATTCGAAGAATCAGGGTTTTCAACGAACATCAGGCGTGCACTATTCTCTTAAACGTGCTTCATACTATCAACAAAATTTAATCAAACACTATGGAGCCTACGGACTTAATGTAATGTAACCCTCAAAATTAAACTGTCAGTTTTAAATCCAAGGGGCCGCGACATCAGTCAGATCGACAGGGGAATATCAATTTTAGAGAAAATCGGCTGTTCGGTTTAGCCGCTAGCGTTGTTCACAGACGGACGGATTTTTTGTCGTCATTCGGTTTTCAGCATCAAGGACCCACAAAACATTGATTGTGGCTACACCACGTGATAGAAGATTTTTTCTAAATTTAGAAACTAGATTTATTCACTTTTTCGTTACCAGGGCCACCAGGGCCCTGTAATAAAAGTTTTCTGCCAAAAGTCGCTGTTTTTTCGCGCTGCATTACATAAATTTCTCTCTACTAAATTAATTGTTAAAGTAGCATGTAAGTATTTTTAGAACGAATAATGGGGCCCAATGTTGTGTAGACGCAAACATATTGTTTATTAATCGCGGTGACGTTATGATTTGCCATTACGGCAAGCGAAGCAAGTCCGTGCAATTACAATAATTTTCAGAGCAGTGGCGGCCATATGTAATTGCACGGACTCATGCTTTCGAATTATGTAAATTTATTGTGGATCTTGAGCTATTTATATGAAACTCGCGTATGTAGTAGTCGTCTCGAAATCGCTAACGCATGTTGGCAATAAAACGATTTTCAGCCGGCTTTCTGCACGAGTACATTAAGGAAGTCAATTTTTTAAAGGTATTTTGTAAATATATAAAGATATTGACGTTGATATGCCTGTTTCAGTAATCTATAGTTTAACATTTTGTGCGCTGTTTGTGATCACAAATATGTTAGCTAATCATTAATTTTTTTATTCGTCATCAGAAAATAAGAAGCGCATATGCTAATGGGCAGCGCCTCCTGTTAAATCCTGCATGTTAAATCCTGAATTGGCAGGGAGCTTGTAAACAGAATTTATCGGAAATTCCGGCATGTGCAAATCGATGGAGATGAGCTTCGTGGGGGTTGAACTTCATTATCAGGATTACATTTATCAACATATCGTGAATGGGGAGATTTTTATTTTTGAACAATACCATCACAAATATATGCTATTCTCTAATATCAGTGTATATAACCTTCTCTCTTTATACATCGAAGAAAAACGATGCTTCTGAACGATTAATGACATCGTCAAAAAACGCCGTTAATACAATACTGCTCGATAGGGAATTACGCCAAAGGTGGATCGGGCGGATTTAGGACGAAACCTAGATTTTTTATTATGCTCTGTCGCGGTGCGCAACACGCATTACGCTACTTCACACGTTACCACCGTGCACATTAAATGAACTGTGCGTCTAGTCCATCAAAACTAGCGATCGGAAAACCTAGGGGAACCGAATTACATTGCGTAAACCGAAATCTACAAAATGATTGCTTATCGGACTTTCTATTACGTTTTTGAAGGTGTATCTCTCCGGACTTTCCTACTCGACAATATTGGTGCATAGAAAATCTCAAAATCTCAAAGTCAATGGAACATTAAATCGACTGTTTAACATTCTGTGAAATTGTAATTGCTCTGATCTGAGTATTTTAACTTAACGTGTTGAGTTATTTGTAAGTTGTTACTGTTTAAAAGAATTTGTATTACTCTTGATCACATGAAAATAACGACAGTTACTTTCATAAAAAATGGATTATTCTTTATCATAGAGAGCAGTTTTGCCCTACATTGTGCTTTGCATTATTATAATATTCAATCATTACATGTAGATGTTTTATGTGATGTAACGCACCGTTCAGAATCAGACCATTTGAAGTTGGGTACCTGTGTTACTTTATTTTCACCTTTAAAACAATGGATTACAAAGTGTGGAATATTTGCACTAAGGCATTTAAATTTCGTAATACAAATGTCAGCAGATATGAGAAACTCTCATTTGTACGGGTCACTTTTATCTTCTCGAACAATGGCATTTGTGATCGCATAGTAATTGCTGATGTACAAGCGAGGGTGACATCACCTGGTACATACTCTGTTATAGTATTGCAGATTTTCTTATTCAATTCCAAAATCAAAATATGTCGAATTTGTGATAGCACTTTAGAAAATGAACGCTATGTATTTTGTCTTTAGCAGCTTACATCTATTGGCAAAATTCAACGCGGCCTTTAGTTCATTATAATTGAATTTTCTCCATGGTACTCCTCACGGAATTCATCTCAATGCACTTACGGATGTCATGAACACACCCGTTTATCTATTGGGACTATAATTACAAAATGTTTGCTCATTCGTGCACAAGTAATTAGAGAGTTTTCTAATAATTAGAAAGTTTAAAACATGTCACGTTTTCCTGGTTTTCTATTACGTTGCAGGGTTTACGTTACATACTAAGAGTAAGTTGTTTAACTGTCGAGGACGTAAATGGATATAGGATAGAGCTCAAGAACTAGAACATCAATTTTGACGTGATCAGAAAGTCACATGCTGACGTTCAAGTAAGCATCTTCAGGGAATTGCTTATTCATTCCAGAATATATACGTGAAGGATCTATTGATGTATGTTGATGGTTGTAGACAATTCCAGTTTCTGCAGCCAAATGCTTTTTGTAACTAGATAACATCATATTATTTTTTGTCATATTATTGAAACAGTTTTAGAGTTTATTGGAATTATGTCATGCATTCGAAAAGCTTGTGCGAAAAACACAATATATTTTACATAGAGAAAATTGAATCAGGATATTCCCAATATCAATGAAATAATCTTTGTTCTGTGGCGTTTCCGGATGTGCTGATATGGATTTTTTTCTCGCACTTTATTTCTGTAAGATGTTTACTTTAATTTATCCTTCCATTCTACATAATGTGATAAGTGATTGTAAATGGAAACGAACTCTCGTAATTTTTGTAGAAATATGTCGAAAGGGCTAGACCAATCGTATGCTTGAACGGTATTTCTTCGTTGTCCATGGCAATTTGTAGCATAAAATATAAATTAAATTGAACTTAACCGAATATGATGGAGGATATTTGTTTTATTTTTGGTTTAAAATATCTAAATCTGTCATAAATCCTTCGCTGATAATTTGTTGGACACAAAATGCACTTTAGGATGATACACATCACAGAAAACAATTTGAAACATAAAAATGTCTTCTAAATATTTGTCGATTTCATTCTACTCATTGTTAAATTAACGTGATGAGTGAAGGACATTAAATGAATGAAGAGTCAATAATGAACTAAGAAAAGTTTCTTTTCATTTTACATTTTACATTTTACATTTCTTTGTGTTTAGAACTGTGTAAAATCCTATTTCAGACTTGCCTGGATATTGTGTTTGACAGATTACAAAAAAAGTTCTTGTGAAGTGATTCGGAAGGTATAATTCAATTGACTCTATAGGAGACATCTTTTTAAATAAGTGGTCATTTGCATGATGTTCTGAAAAATTATAGAATAAAGTGCAAAATTAAAAATGTCCAAACATTTTGTATGGAAAATAATGGGATCCATATTAACTTGAATTGATTCAAATTTATGAATAATAGCTACATTTTTAAATTAAAATTATGTTTCTTCAGTTTCAGTACTAGTACAAGGGGTCTAGAAAATTATATTAATACTTGTAATTTTCTCATTTAACATTCTAAATTTGTTGACCAAGACTTTGAGAAAAGTAGTGAACGATGGTGGTTCGCACAGGTGATATAATTAAACTTTGGTTAATTGTATGCACATATTGGGCAGATGACGATATAAAACATCACGCCAAAAACATGCGTGTCGAGCTAACGTACGATTGTATCAAGTTATT